GGGTGGCCGTGTCAGGCCTTCTGTAGCTTGTCAACTTCACTCTCGAACATACTGTATTGTCCATTTTTTTGCTCCGATTCTTCCTGATTGCTTACCTGAACCTAAAAACAATGGAAATACCAAACTAACACATAAAATGCGATAAAAGAAAATAAAATGTAACTAAACATATAAGAAGATTAACTCAAACTATCGTTAAAATAACGCATAAAAACCACTGATCAAGTAGGAACCGTGACAAGCAAGAGTTGAGTCAATTTTTGCATTACATTATATAATGATTATGAAAATGAGATGCTTGTGTACTGATGAATACTCTTATATGTTTGTGAGAGTTTGATGTGTGATATGGGTGAGACATGAATACATGGTGTTGATGTGCATTTCTAATATTTGGATGATTTTGTAGTGTGTGAGTCTATCCTGATTGTTTATGCACTATTTATTATTTGTACGTATTCTCACCCCCTTTTTGTGTTATTTCTTCTATGATGCTCTGGTGTACAGATAATCAGATACCTGAGTATGACCCTGAGGTTGAGGATAATGTTGTGCCTCTTTAGTTGGTTGTCATTCGAGTATATAGTTGGAGTTGCTATGATATGTAACAGGAAGGGACGACATGTTCTGTTATTTGTTTCATGTTGCATATCTTAATTTTCTTTTAACATTGAACTATTTTCCAAACTTTTGGTTGTTGAGGATTTTATGCCAACTATTTTCTAATTTTTTGCTGCTTATCAACTGAGTTGATTTTAATTTTATGGTTCAAATATGAGTTGATTGTTCTTGAGCAACATCTTACTTTGGAGGATATACGTGTTATACTTGTTTTATTCTATTATATGTCAAGTCAGGAAGTATGGTATTACCCCAGCTGAACTCATCCACTATGTATCAACACCTTGGCTATTTTATCAGTGGGGATGTTAACATTATAAGGCCCTTTCCTATAGCTCTGGGCTAACTGAAGTTCTTGATGGTATGAGTAGACTACTTCACGAAGTGCATTGAATCTAAATTTGGGTTTAATATAATAGTGAAGAAATTATGTTGCTTTTATTGGAAAAATATCATGTGTAGGTTTGGCTTCCCAAAAATCATTGTCTAAGACAATGGAACTCAGTTTGGTAGTCCCATTGTAATCGATTTCTACAAAGACATGTGGATACAATCCATATTCGTATCCTTCATTCACTAATAAGAAAATTGACAAGTAAAGCCAACTAATAAGATAATGCTGAAATGAATCAAGAATAAGTTGGATGAGGCTAAAGGTTTATGTGTTGAGCAGTTGCACGAAGTATTGTGGTCGTATCACGCTACCCCCTCACTCCACCATTAAAGGAACCCCTTACACTGGTATATGGGGAGGACGACATGTTACTATTTAATATTGACATGTTGACATGGAGATGCTCTCATTTTAATGAAAGGAAAATGAGGCAGGGCTAAGATGCAACACTAATTTAGTGGACGAAGCGAGAGATATCACCCATACTCTAGAGTTTTCCTCTAAACAAAGAGCATCTAAGAGATACAACTCCAAGGTAATCCGAATAGAGATACTGGAAGGCGATCTAGTACTACAAAGGGTCAACGTAGTATTCGTTCAGTAGGTAAAATTACAACCTTATTAGGATAGGTCGTATCACATATTTCAAAAGTTGCTCAATGGAACCAACAGTATAGAAGAGTTAAATGGATGGCTTATCCCTATAACAAGCAACTCATCCAATCTAAGATATTATTTTGTTGAGTATTAGGAGGGAAAATATCCTTTTGTATAACTTTGTAAAAGATAATGTCATTTGTAACAAGTTGTTATGGTTGTGGCTGTCATGATTATACTGATGGACTTCAACGAGAAGATTTTTGCCTCCCTACGGGGTAATTATATTGTTGGACTTCCATAGAAAGATCCTTGACGTCTAAAGGGTAATTCTACTTCCAGACTTTCATAGGAAGATCCTTGTCGCCATACAAGGTAATTATACTATTGGACTTTCAAAGGAAGATCCTTTTTACCCTACGAGGTAATTATATTGTTGGACTTCCATAGGAAGATACTTGCCGCCATACGGGATAATTATACTATAGGACTTCCATTGAAAGATTGTTGTCTCCCTACAGAGTAATTATATTGTTACGCTTCCACATGAAGCTCATGGAAACCCTACATGGTAATTGTAATGTTGGACTTCCACATCAAGATAATTGTCATCCTACAGGGTAATTATACAACTGGACTCCCACAAGAAGATCCTTGTCACCCTACGTGGTAATCATACTGCTAGACTTCCACAAGAATATCATTTCCGCCCTATTGGTTAATTGCATTATTAGACCTCCTCTAAAAAAAGCCTTTGTTATCTCAATAGACTATTCAATTACCACCAAACAAGGAGTTATTTTCAACCTTGGCAAGCGACCTCGCCTAAGCCCTAAATAACGGAAAGGTCACGAAACTAAAGATCTCATAAATAAACCGCTAAAGGCGAGAACATCAACTCATAAAAAGTGGGTTCACAAACTGTCTTGCAAATGTCAAGAACAAGAATAATGTATGGAATACAAAGAATCAAGCGCACTCTAAGCCATGATCGAGGGAATCACCCTCTGAGGGAATTAACTAAGTAGTGACACGAGGACTCAATTAAGGCCTCGCCCAAGCGACTCAACTAAAGCCTTGCATGAGAGACTCAACTAAATTCTCGTCTAAGGGACTCAAATAAAGTATAATTTAAGGGACTCAACTGAAGTATCGTATAAGAAACTCAACTAAAGTCTCGTGTGAGATACTAAACTAAATTTACTCCTGTGGGTCTTAACTAAAGTCTTGTTTGAGGGACTCAACTAAACTCTCATCTGAGGGACTCAACTACGCTTTCATCTGAGGGACTCAATTGAAGTCTCGCATGAGGAACTTAACTAAGTCTTGTTTGAGGTACTCAAATGAAGTCTCTCCTAAGGGATTCAACTAAAGTCTTGTCTAAGGGACTCAACTAAAATCTCGCCCGAAAGAATTAACTGAAGTATCATCTGAGGGACAAAATTAAAGTCTCAACTGAGGAACTCAACTAAAGTCTCGTATGAAGAACTCAATTGAAGTCTCACATGGAGTATTCAACTAAGGTCTCGTCTGTGGACTCAACTAAATTCTCGTCTGAGGGGCTCAAATGATGTCTCGCTTGAGATACTTAACTAAGGTCTCACCCGAGGAACTCAGCTAAAGTTTCGCCCGAGAGACTCAACTAAAGTCTTTTCTGAGGGACTCAACTAAAGTCTTTTCCGATGGAATCAACTAAAGTCACGTCTGAAGGACTTGATTAAAGTCTTTCTAAGGGATTTTTGGAAAACTCTCAGCCAGTAAGGTTGTTTGAAACTTTGAGACCAGAAGGCATGTGTAAACGCCTTGACAGGGTTCCTCAAAAGGTCCGAAGAGAAGTCATAGGAAAAATCACTTCGGCCTCTAGAGCCCTCGTGCTTGAGAAACTGTATAGTGGTATAATTGAGAGATATATTAGGCGGGCGAGAGGCATTCACTTAGTCCTTCCCGAGTCGCCCTTTATTTAGTTCAAGCGCCCTTTTTGTGTGCTTCGACTGCCTATTGTCTATATGTGTCGCCCATTCCTCGACCTACAACGCACAATTTTGCGTTGAGTGAATATCATGCTAACAATCGTTGTATGAGAAGTCGTGAGACTTAACTTTACCTCATAGATTTCATAGAATCAACCACTCATTTCTTGAGAAGTTGTTATATCCTAAAGAGACTTGGTTCACTCGAATCAGACCCCTAGGGCTATATATACAATACTACCATAATATTAAGGGGGCCAACTTGACTCAAACATAAAAATACACAAATACAACAGCTTCTCACCCCGAACAACTTTAAAGTCTCTAACAGTCCTTATATACTAGAGGTTATCAAGTATTTATACTTTTAGTGTGTATATCATTTATTTGTGAAAACTTACATTGATGCTAATTATGCTAGTTTGGTGAGCGATAGAAAATCTATTTTCTTCTTGTATGAAAATCTAGTGGTTAAGAGTGAGAAACAAAATGTATTTGTTTGATCAAACGTTGAAGTAGACATCAACATATTTTAATGAATTCAGACAATCAACTTTGTTTTGCGCAATCGCCCCACTCATTGACGTTCAATGGCATAATTTTCATATTTTTCTCTTAGCCTTTTTTATTGGTCTTGCAATTTGCTCTTCTAGTCAACATGAATTTTTCCCTTCTATAAAGATTTTAACAACAAAACTCACACACACGGCCCAATGTGGACTTCATCTATCTGATTTTACAATAATGAATAAGACCTAAATATCAACCTAAAACTTAATCATCTTAACTTTGATGATCAGTTTATAATTACGTGCATACTTCCAAAAAGATTCTCTTTTGGGGACAAAAAGAATCTTTCATTTCTAGTTCCTTTTACATATGGTAGAAAAACAGTGGGTGGATGGCGTTGAAAGACAAACAACTGCAAAAATACAATATCTGCATGGGAATAGAATTTTATTTGCCGAGACAATTTGGGCACATTTGTCTAATAACTTTCATCAATAGTATATAAAAAGAAGATTATCAGAATATATTTAGCATCCAAACCAAGTTTTCCTTTTCTGAAGCTCATCCATATCCTACAAGACTTGTTATTCCCATTTCCTCAATCGTTTGAAGATACCATTCCTGTCTGATAGGTTGTAACATCACTTGGTTTAGTTGAGAGAAATGTTTCATACAAATATCTATCCATTTATATATTCAAAGAATATGATTCTCTTTAATTATTTAATTTCTATACTATATATTTTAAATAGGCATATGCGAGAATTAGTAGTATATATAACCCTAGAGATTGATTTGAAAATTATTATTATCATTCGAGAGATGCAAATGCAAAAAGAGAATATATTCTATGTTTGGTTTCTTGCTTAGTTGTTCTTCCTTTCTTCGTTCTTTACTTCAACTAAACCATGGCTTCCTTATTATATAGAACTTTTGGCTATGAAGTTGCATCCTTTATAAGCGGTTTGTTTGCGCATCCAACTCATCATAATAATCACAAACATAATAAGAAGTTCAACATGCCAAAGGGTCGACCGATTTCGTTACAGGTTTGTTTTTCTCCGCCTCACACACATATGGCACGTAGAAAGATTGTTTTGCAAGTTACTGAGATAGGTTTATTTTTTTCCAATATTACTTGAAAATATTCCGAATGTTGAATGCAGCTGAAAGTTGTTGATCTTATTTGTTTCAGACAGTTGAGCTGAAAGTAAGGATGTGTTGCACAGGTTGCGAAAGAGTTGTTAAGAATGCGGTCTACAAACTCAAAGGTAATTTTGAACTCGTGATAACTCATTAGCTATGAGGCCAACGCTCTAACTATCTGAGCTACTCTTATTTCAATCTCGGCTATAATAATTAACGTTATTATATGATTATTAATTAATAGGCATAGATTCTGTGAAAGTGGACTTAGAGATGGAAAGGGTAACGGTTATCGGATACGTTGAGAGGAACAAAGTGCTTAAGGCAATTAGAAGAGCTGGAAAACGAGCTGAATTTTGGCCTTATCCTAATCCACCACTTTACTTCACATCAGCTAGTAATTACTTCAAAGATACAACCAATGAGTTTAAAGAAAGTTACAATTACTACAGACATGGTTACAATCTTCCAGATAGGCATGGGACCATTCATGTCACTCAACGTGGTGATGACCAAGTTAGCAACATGTTTAATGATGATAATGTTCATGCTTGTTCTCTCATGTAAATGTAAATAAATTAATAAATCACTTGTCTACGTTGTTATGTGTGTATGTATATATTACTAGATTGTTGTGAAAACTTTTTATTTATCATAATATGTAAATTTGTTGTAAATATGTGTTTGTTGCCATAGCTAGTCATGAAAATATTATGCGGTGTTATATGTAAATTTGAAGATGTTTTATGAAGCATGGTTTGTATAATTACTTGAATATAAAATTTTATAGTAAAATATTATGGAAGTAGAAGTTAAGTGTGTTAGACTATTTGTTCAGCTCCTCAAATTTTTTAGAATTTTTGTGTAAAAAAATTCAAGTTAGTTTCAGATGAGTACTGAATTTTTTTCATTGACTCTAATTAATCATAAATTAATTATAGAATATGTTTATAGTTCCTTTTTTTGTCATAAATTAATTATAAAAATTAAAAAAAAGTAAGATTTTGTGCAGTAAAACGCATTAAACACCTTAAAAAACGATCCTAATTTAAATAGAGTGTGATTATTTATATTGTTGGGAGCTTTTTTTTTTTCTATTCACACATCCATTTTTTCTTATATTTTGTCATTGCTCATTTAGTTGGTGGCGTTATAAACATGAAATACGAGAAAAATGTCAAATGGTCAGATTATACTATGATTTGATTAATTCTAACACTAACATGATATTAGTAGGATTCGGTGGACTTAGAAAATATTTGATTATCTTGTATTCGACTATTTTGCGTTTAGAAATCGGTTTCTCTCTTAGAGTAGATCGGTTTGATCGAATTAGATAAACAAACTATATGTGTATATGTTTTGCTTACACTATTTGTAAAATAAATTTTGTTTAAGGTCATTTAATTGATTTTCATTGTTCTTTGTCTCAAACACAAAGTTTTTGGTGTATTTTATTACTCAATTTCACAACAAATGGCACCCACTGTGAGATAAAAGGGGTTAGGTTTACAATTGGGTACCATGAATTTTAAATGGGATATCAAAATGTTTTTCCAAAACAATAATTTCGAATTGTGAAAAGTGAAGATGCAAAGTGTGTAGAAGCATCGAAGCCGAAAAGTTTAACACAAGCAAAGAAGACTAAGATATTGGATAAGGTCTGAAGTGTTATTATCATGTGTCTCATAGATAAAATTCTATTGTTTTGTTTAAGAGTTTGGAGAGGAAATGAAATGAGCGTTTTGAAAAAGAGAATGATGGAGAGAAAAGAATTGAGTGATTTAGGTGGAGGGGTTTCGAAGGGTTTATTTTATTCATAATACAAAAACTTCTTGTTCGGAAAAATTGGAAAAAAAATTTGGAGGAGGATTTTGGAATACTTGAATAAATCCTTTAATTATAATTTATTTTGTTATAATACTCTAAATATTAAAAATATAATAATAATAATAAATATTCATTTATCGTTTTAAACAAAACATTTCTTTTAAAAAGGATAAAAAATTAAATATATTTTCTTCAAATCTCCTTTTCTCGTGGCCCTCCCTTTTCTTCCCCTCCTAACTCGTAAACATAACTTAAGGGAAGTTGTCAAGGAGAAAATTGTGATGGATACGAGGGTCACGCTTAAACTAATGTATATGATAACGTTATTGACTTATTGGTTATGTTAGAAAGAAGAACTCTACTTATTTCAAATGAATAAATCTATATGAAGTAATTGGTATAATTTCACGTGATTATTAATGACTTATAAAATATTGAGGTGAAGTTTGATAAAGGACAAGATTCTACCCTTAATGAGATCATGACCCATATATTTTGAACATTTTAAGAATGTGACTATTTATAGTAAGGAATGTAATTATCACCTTTGAAGAGAGGTCCAATCGATTATAAAAATCAAAGAGTTAACTAAAATAAAATAGTTGAAAGTCGAAGATAATAGTAAAAGTCGAGTGTTTTAAGTCAAAGTCTAAATCCAAAGGATTTTATAATTATAATTAAAATTTTGTACTTATCAAAAAATTGATCATTTAAAAAAAGATTTTTTTGAAAAGGGGAGAAGAGTAATTATATTCAGATTGCGGTTATCTTATTATTGGATTGTACTTTAACTAGTGTAATAAATCATTGAAAATTATAAAAAATTATTAAGTACCAAGTGTCAATCTCAAAAGCTACTAATTTTTATTGATTTTTATTTCATGACTCAATTGATCAAAAGTTTCAATGTTGGATTGATAGTTTTCTAAAATATAGAGTAATTCTAAATTTTTTAAGAAAAAATGTGATGATTTAAAAGAAATTTCAAGGATGTGATTGACTTTATTTCTCTAAATCAACTTTGCTAACATACACTGTTTATATAATTATTAATTTTCTAGTAAATAAACTTTTAAATTTTAATTTAATCTTCAAATTTTATAGTGAATTATAAATAAAACTAAACTAGTTGATTAACAAGAATAATTATGTTTCAAAAGTTTATTCCTAATTCTATGTGATAAAGAATTAGAACGTTTTTATCAAAGCGTTTTAACTTTGAACATTTGTTCTAACAAAAAATCATACAACATTTATTGATGATCAATTTAGAAAAAGAATCAAGCTTAGATGAAAAAAGTCATATACAAATAATAAGATTTTGAATAACAAACTTAATTCAAAGTAATTTTTGGTCAAGAACTCATCTCTAACATTGTAGAGTTTAGCTACTTATGAATAGAAAAAATTGATAAAGTCTCTCTAATGTGTGTTTTTGCTCCCAAGAGTGTCTTCAAACGCAAAAGTTCCAAACCCTTGTCAAAAGATATTTTTTTTTCTTTTAAAGTCGGGTTTGGGCATAGTATGTTGGTTGGCTGAATTCTTTTTCACTTTCATAAACATCTTGGATATCTATCTTCTAAAAATAACACAAACCACTCCAAAATAGTAGGATTAAAGTATAAATGTTCGTATATTTCAACATAAACATAAATATAAATTTATAATTAAAATGTTTAAATAATAAATAAAAAGTACAGCAATTATTGAATACTTAAGTAAAATTAACAAAATAAAATAGTTAAATGATGACTAATTAGGATGGTTATAAGATTGTTGGTGAATTAGAGGTGAGACAGATAAGAATTGGATTAAATATTCGGGATGCTCTTATCACATGTGTCTTTGAGACTTTAAAGTTAAAAGAAGTTGGGGAGGTTTGATTTGGTAAGCATAAGGCATGCAAAGTTTATGGTATTGGAATAGTTAAACTTGAAATGTTTGGTGACTGCGAATTTCTTCTACGCAATGTGAGGTATGTTTTTAAGTTTAAGAGAAACTTTTTTTTGTTTATAAACATGTTTGATGATTTAAACTATTGCACTAAAATTAATTTTGTAGATTTGAAAATTTTTAATTATTTTCTATTTGACTATTTTGCATTTGATTGTTTTGGCATTCACCTAATCTTCATTCAATTGCGAGTTATGGAATTGACTCAAGAAATTTAGGAAAATATTCTCCATAACGAAATGCGCTTGTAGGGAATGCAATGTGTCGTGCGTTTTGTAGGGAAACATAGTGTATTTTGCTAGAAATCTATAACATGATTTTTTTTTGCTTAATTCATCTTTTAGTCTTTAAGTTAATTTATTGTTTCTATTTAGTTCTTCAATTCAAAAACATTACAATATAGTCCTTTAGGCCACCTTCGTTAACCTTATAAATCCTTCTATTGAATTTTATTGGAAAAACGTTGTGAGACGCCTATGTGGCATAGTGAGATACTGATGTGGCATCTTGTTATTGTTTTTTCAATTATTATTATACTTATTTTAATGACTAAAATGAAATATAAGTTTCATTTTCATTTTTAGAAACATAAAATCCTGAACTCTTATGCTTCTCTCTCAATTTCGTGGTTTCACTCTCATTGTCTAAAAACCCAAGCAGTTGCGAAGAAGAAGAGGTTGGTGCTTGAAGACGACGATTATTGAAACATAGCAGAAGAAGATACTTATCAACATAACCATTGTACATTTTCAGGCCAAGGTATGTGTATGAGCTTACTATTTTAAAAAGCGAACGTTTAACATTTTCTTCTACTTTGAAGTTTCATTTCTGAGTTATTTTGTGTGATTAGGTTACGAGTGATAGGTTTGAGTGTGTTATCCATCGTGGAGGTGTGTTTGTTGAGTTTCACATATTAGGTTACAAGGGGTTAGAGGAGATTTGGGAAGTTGACCCTGATTTCTGGAGTTATTTTAAGATTCTAGGTGGGTTAAAAGATTTAGGGTACCCAAAAATGGAGAGTTTATGGTATTATGATGCAATGGATGATAATGAGCTAGTGATGTTGCAAGATGACTTAGGAACAATAAAATGAAAATGATTGCACTGATCAATAGGAATGTGCATCTATATGTAATGCATCCAATGTATGGGGAAGAGCATATACTGCCTCTTGAAAATAATGTAGGACCCAATGGTGTAAAAGACGACAATTTGGAAGATGACATGTTGGATGAATTGAATAATCGTGTAAAAGGAACTTTTGATGACTTGGGGACTATTGAAGATTTGAATAATCTAAGTGACAAGTTTGGTGAAGGAGGGCCCAGTGGTGTAAAAGATTCAGCTTCAGTTGACCAAGAAGGTTCATTTGAGGATGTTAATATGCATCGGACCACTGAGGGCATTAAGCAAAAAGAGTCATGTCAGGATGTTAACTTGGAGGGGACACTGTGTCTGAAGATGCAATAGTGGATATTACTTCATATGGAACCACTGATCATATTATATGTGACTAAGAAGATGATATATTGGATGACACGCCTTATCTTGCAAGTGTTCAAACTGATTCAGTAGATGAAGGACTTGTTTGTAACCAAAATGAATATCAGGGACTAGAATGTAACCAAGAAGATGAGGGGCTGGAATGAAACCAAAAACATGGTGGTGGTAGTGAGATGATAGTCTTTTGAATGTGAACTTTGAGGATTCTGATGAGGATTCAATTGGAATTGCTGAAGAAATTGTTATTGATAAAGAGGAAAGTAAAGGAAATGGGAAGGGAA